TATTTTGACATTGATTCCCATTGCTTCTAGATAAGAGTGCAAGGAATTAGGTGATATATGACTTTGATATATTTACCATGCATTCTTGCTTGAAATGAACTAATTGCAGTGCTTCAAGTAGCTGAAATAGTTAAGTAGTTTTACGGAAATTGAAAACATTGTAAGCTTCAGTATGGCATGATCCTAAATGTAATTATTGTTCTTATACATAATATTGATGTTGCGATCATCTCTGATTTTATTGTTGTTTATATCATCTTTTAGTTTCTGGCAGCCATAGTGCAGTCGTTGTATGTAGGATTTTGAATACTTTAAGCTTGAACAACCTAACTTAGTTTATATTGACATGAACACAGGCTAATTTACAAAATGAAAATGCCTCAACCCCACCACCTGTTGTACTTATAGTCTCATATTCATTCTGCAGTCTTGTGTGTTCTTCTTTGTAGGAAGCAAGATCTAGATGGGAGATTATAGCATAGTCTCCCATGTATACAACAAATTTTCATCCTTCATATGATCAGCTTATTTTTACAATGAGCAAGGTAACTGTATATTTTAATGACATGAGCTAAACATAGTATTTATGACATTAGTGACATAACACCTGTAGCAATAGCACATCAGTCTCATTATATCAGTTAAGATACATGTCTGACATAGATCAACAAACCGATAGTAGCAACTTATAGCTGCTAGTCTTCCTATGCTAGGTTTCTAGCTCATGTCTTCTTAGTTTCGCCTCTGAACTAGATCCCCCTCCCCTTCCATTTCTGATCACACATCCACCACCCTTAATAGAAAATAAATTATGATCATTTTCCTCATGTATACTCTAGAGAACAAGAGAAAAATGAGTTAATGGTTAATACATTATCTTTTACAAAGCACTAACTCATATTATTATGTTATTTCATTTTTGTTCTAGTTGTCTGATGTATGATGCTTTCACACATACATAGGATCAAAAGGATCAAGATGAAGGATTGCTTCGGAAAGTAATGATGCCACAAGAAGCGTGCTTACATATACAAGATCGAGATAAACTTTTTTTCTTTTACTCCCGGGAGTGAAAACTTCGGAGCTTTCAGCTAACTATAACCGCTGCTGTTGTCACGTACTATTATTGGCTTACTGCTGTATTGCTGCTACTACTGCTTACTGCCGGTTTTGGCTGCTATTGTTGTTTGCTGCCACTGGTGGCTACTACTATTGTTTGCTGCCACTGTTGGCTGCTACTGCTGTTTGCTGCCACTGCTATCTGCTATTGCTGTTTGCTGCTACATACTGCCGTCTGCTGGTATATATTGATATCCGATTTGTAGGTACTATTATTGGTGCTGTCGTTCTGCCACTTAGCTTTTGCTATCATACGGCTATCGCGTTGACTATTTTTGGAAAATTTGGAGCTTTTTCTTATTTCGTCCCTTTTTCCAAGCTAGAAACCAAAGCTGTCTTTCTTTTGTTTTGATTATTATATTGTTTGACCAAACATAAAATTGGTGTTTATGGATAATTTTTTGTAAGAATTATGAAATTATTTCATTCAAATTATTGTTTATCATATACGTTAATTTCTCATTCATGGTTACGTTGTTGTACAAATTTATATTATGTATTATTTTTAAACAACAACAATAACCACAACAACAACAACAATAAAAAAAATTGTTACATTTGTTTGCAAAAAAAAAAAAAGTTTAAAAAAAGTGATACATAATGTCGAATAAAGTGCTACCATATGTCTCAAAAAATGATTAAAAAATGTTACCTAATATTCAATAAGGTGTTACATTAGTTCAAAAAGTGATACATAATGTCGGATTAAGTGCTACTATATGATTGAAAAATGTTACAAAAGATAAATAAGTGTTACCTAAGAAATAAAATGTAACACTTGAAAAATGATACTAATAATATAAAAAGTGTTACATAAGAGGGTTTATAGTAGCACTTTTGAGAGTGTTACCATACGTCACCCAAAGTGTTACATAACACCTTAAGTAACATGGGCGGAAGTATCACCCAATAAAATGTTACCTATTGTCTATAATAACACTTTTACCACTTTATGTAACATTTTTTGGGTGTTACTTAAGGTTAGTTTTGTACTAGTGTTTCCTTTTAGCTGGAAAACATTCCTTTGCCTTCAACGGGTGACCAACATCCCCACCATATGAAACGTCCGGACACTATCCAAAGTTAAAAATAAATAAATAATATTTATACAACTATAATATTGTAGCTATTTAACAAAACAAATATTCCAATTACCCCCTTTTTTCCAAAGTCACCCGTTGGGAAACGATCTTCTTTACAAGCTTTGCTCATCTCCTTTGTACTCCATACTTTTAACCTCGGAAACTCATTCCATTCTAGTGGAATTCTGTTCAGTCTATCAAGATACAACAACTGCTTTTACATAAACAAACATCAACATCAGCTTTATGACTTGTAAATGAATGAAAAAAGGTTTACATTCAGATATTTTAGAGGTGTCAACTTACCGACAGAAATAAAGTACACCCACCACTTCCATGGGCAAAACCATTGTTATAAAACCTTTTAGCAAAGCTTTCCATCGCATGTAATAACTCATCCAAAATGAGAGAGCACCAGTTATACAGTTTAGCACTGCTTGCAACTGCAGCTGCATGCAGATGTTTCTTCTTCATGCGATGACAAGTTGTCGAACAGAGTGTATTCAACATCAGTAACACAAAAAGCTGCCGAAACTCGTCCTCATCAGTACATGGAGCCTCCAAAGCTTCAATCAAAGTCTTCCTTGTTATCCCTTCTGTCCTAGAATTGTAAATGGTGCGGTACTTTATCCACAAACTGTCCTCTACCTCCTGACCAACTACCTTCGTTGGTACCGGTCTCAGTCCGTGAGGTAGGCCCAGAACCCAATGCACCTGAATAGAAGAAAAAGGGTAAACCATCCCATCTGTTGTGCGAAGGCACTTCTTATCAACATCTACCCGAGTACATAGCCAGTATGCCAACTATCGAGGTAACCTCTTCCCAACAGCATAAAATAATATGCCAAAACCCATATCTCTGACTATTCGAGTCTTTGTTTCATCAAATTTGCCTAATACCCTCCCAAATGTCTCAAGAGGGCAATTCTCATTCATTGACTGCAAAATAAAGGCAGAATTTCATTAACGTCTCACATTAATGCTTCAAAACAAAACAACAATTTTCTCAATAAACATACAATCTTCTCGTATTGTTGGAACGTTTCGGTAACTTTCCCAGCCTCCTTTAGCCTACCGCCTACACTTTTAGAATTATCCTTCTGCAAACAAAAATAATAAGAAACAATCATCAGAATACTTTATACAACTGATATCAACCAAAATGAACTAAATAAGACCACATACAAAGCAAACTCATAAAAATACCATGTAAACAATCAAATTAATGTCTTTTATCACGCTCTTCGGCTTCACCATCTTAGCCTTCCCCTTGGCCTTCCCCTTGGCCTTTACCTACATTGGTAAACAAAACAAATATAGATAATCATTGGAAAAACAACAGTATAGTTAGTGTGTCTAAATTTAGGTAAAAGAAACTTTACCCCTCTATGAATTTTACTACTTGAACATTCTTCTTCTTCTTCACTATCATCCGCAGAATACGTTTTAGATGAAGGTTCCTCTTCTAAGTTAGAATCAAAAGGTGTATCATCACCACCTCTTCTCTCACCTCTCACAACCCTTCTCCCAACACCACCCCAGCCTCTACTAAGACGCCCAACAATACCACCTCTCACTACACTACCACCTCTCCCACCTCTCCAACCTCCTCTCACAGCACTCCCACTTCTCACTCTCACAACACTCCTACCTCTCACAACACTACCACCTCTCCCACCTGCAACAAACAACAACAAGAACCAACATGATAATCAGAACAATCAGAATTAATTTAGACTAAAAAAACCATTAACTAAAGCTGCCATTACTTTGATCTCAATCATTGTTGAAACCCTAACACAATCATAATCACTACAACCTAACTTATTAGCTACAGGGAGGAGCAAACCTAACCTCATTCACTACTTCAGGGCATGCTTAAACATCATAAACAACAACATCAGTGCCATAATTTCAATAATGAGCCAAGAAATGCCATATTAACACCTATTACTTATTAGAATTCTTGTCATTTATATTAATAATACAGTCATATTACAACCACAATTAAAATCTATATTACTTGCTAATAGAATTCTTGTCATTTATATTTTTATAAAAGTCTTATTAAAATCTATATTACTTATTACTAATTTAGGAGTAAATACCCTAATTAAAAAATTATCACAAACCTAATCACAAATTATCACGAAACCCTAAATTCTGCTAATTTTTTGTTGACATTTCAAGTAAAAAGCAACTAAATTGTTATATAAAACCGAAATTTAGTACAAACTTAGGTCATACAACAACCTGAATTTAGTACAACTGCAAAAATATCAACAACGAAACCTAAGAACATACAACAACCTAAATTTCAAAATTAGTAATTTCAAATTTTCAAAATTTATAAAACGTATTAGCTTGAAATTTGCTAACCAAGAAAGTCACATGCAATTGTAACAGTAATTACATAATCATTCAGAGACTCACCTCGACACATCATTTTTCGTCGATCAATTGCGCACGAAATTCTCTGAAATTTTCTTTCGTCGAAGAACTTTTGATCAAAAATCACTTCCCCCAACAATTCACAAGGTCTTCTTTAGAATTGAAGGACTTCAATTTCTCAACGATATCCAGATTATCAGAGAAGAGATGAGAAAATGAACAGCTTTACAGAGCTCGCTTCAGAGAAGAGAGAGAGTAGAGCAAAGGAAAAGCGGGAATTGAACCAACGGGAAACGAGGGAGGCATATTATATATTAGTATTTTAATACGTATACAACAGTAGCAATACATACATCTTAAGTTGAAGCCCATACAAAAATACCAAAACACCCTCGTGCTGGGAAATTTAACCCCAACAAATTGCTTGGCTGAGACCGACTTTCGCAAAGATCGACTCATTTACAATACACCTGATAATTCATAAATTTTTCTAATTTCAATCCAAGAAATGATTTGTAATTTTACTAAAGTATCCAAATGGCTAATACTAATAATAATAAAAAAAAAAAAAGTCAAATGTGTTAATTATTCAAAGTAACGAGACAAATCAACAATATTCAACATTACCCCGTTTGCTTAGATGTTAGATCTAACTCATCACACACTTGCACACCAATCTCACAAAACCAAAATTAAAAAAAAAAAAAAAAATCATTGTGCAGAGTTGCAGACAGACAAACCGACGCCGGCTTCATTTCCTCTCTTCACTCACCAAAACAAACAGAGAGAAAAAAACCGGGCTCACCAGATTCACATCTGCACGATCCATCCTCTTCCTCCGCCTACCACCAACAATGGCGAAACTCCACCATCTCCTCTCTCTCTCTCTCCTCCTCCTCACCCTCATCCCTCTCTCAATCGCCGAGATCAAAACCCTCAAAATCATCTCCGACTCTCGCCCTATGATTCTCTTCGAGAAATTCGGCTTCACTCACACGGGCCGTGTTAACGTTGCCGTGTCTTCCGTCTCTGTTACCTCCAATCTCTCTCCTCCTGAGCCTTCTCGTCTTGGTTTCTTCCTCCTTTCTGAAGAATCCCTTCTTCAAGTTCTTCTTGAGATCCAGCAAAACCCATCCTTTTGTGTTCTTGATTCTCAGTATACAACTCATTTGTTTACTTTTCGAGATCTTTCTCCTCCTCCTGCTTCTTCGTTTAATCAATCTTACCCTGTTAGTATTCCCAATGAATACAGTCTGTTCTTCGCTAATTGTAACCCAGAAAGCTCGGTTACCATGACTGTTCATACTGAGATGTATAATGTGGAGTTTAATGGGGTCAAGGATTATCTTCCTGCAGGTCAAACTCAATTACCCTCTTTGTATTTTCTGTTTTCAATTGTTTATTTTGTGTTTTTGGGGTATTGGGTTGTTGCTTGTTTGAAGAATAAGAAATCTGTTCATAGAATTCATCTTTTGATGTCTGGATTGTTGGTTATGAAAGCATTGAATTTGATCTGTGCTGCTGAGGATAAACATTATGTTAAGGTTACCGGATCGCCGCACGGTTGGGACGTGCTGTTTTATATGTTTCAGTTTCTTAGGGTTGTGTTGTTGTTTACTGTGATTGTGTTGGTTGGTACTGGGTGGTCGTTTTTGAAGCCTTTCTTGCAGGAGAAGGAGAAGAAGGTGCTTATGATTGTGATCCCACTTCAGGTTTTAGCTAATGTGGCTTCTATTGTGATTGGCGAAACCGGGCCTTTTATTAAGGATTGGGTTACATGGAATCAGGTGTTTTTGTTGGTTGATATTATATGTTGTTGTGCGATTATCTTCCCTATTGTGTGGTCAATTCGATCTTTGAGGGAGACGTCGAAGACAGATGGGAAAGCTGCTAGGAATTTGTCTAAGTTGACCTTGTTTAGGCAATTCTATATTGTTGTTATCGGGTATTTGTATTTCACTAGGATTGTCGTGTTTGCACTGAGAACCATCTCTGCGTACAAGTATCAGTGGGTGAGCAATGCAGCTGAGGAAATTGCTAGTCTGGTGTTCTATGTGATCATGTTTTACATGTTTAGGCCGGTTGAGAGAAACGAGTATTTTGCCCTTGATGACGATGAAGAAGAAGCTGCTGAGATGGCTCTTCGTGATGAGGAGTTTGAGCTTTAGAAATAAGGCCAAACTCAACTCACGATTTGATGCCTTTTTTTGAGACTTTATTAATGCGGCTTGAGAGCTTGCTAACTACTCTGATGTTTTGGGCTCAAAACTGCTTAACACAGGTCTGCAGTTGCTTCTTCAGTTTTATGCTGGCTCTTTTTTTTTTTTTTTTTTTTTTTTTTTTTTTTTTTTTTTTTTTTTTTACCTTTAAGAATTTTATATCCAAGTAGTGGTTGTAATTCTCCTTAAACACAGTTTAATGTTGCCTTGTAATATTAATACATTTCAGTACATTTTTATATACTTAACAAGCCAATGTTAAAATCAATTCATGCAACATATTGCTATCTGTATCAGTATCAGTCTTTTTTCTCTTCTATTGATATGTTCACTCTTACTAGTTTACCTTCACTATTTCTGCATCTTGTCTTTTTGTTATAATTCGTGCTTCTATACTTTGTTTTGTTCTGTCTATAAATATGCTTTTGATGTTAGTGTTCAAACCAAAGATTGCCATTCACTTAACAAGCATCAATGTCCTTATTGGCTATTTCTGAGTGGGACCAGTTAGTTTAATTAGTTATATGGAGTCAAGGAAGTGAGAATGTTACCACCACCACCACCACCACCAAACAACCTCTTGTCTTCTTGGAAGGATTTGGGAGAGAATGGTTCATATGCTTGAGCTTTGCTCAGTTAGCATCTAGACTAGCATACAACCTCTGATCAAGCAGACCAAATCTGGCAGTTGTTTCTTGTAAAACTCAGCTGACATGTGCTTTGTTTGTTAACCTGTTGATATTAAATAGCTTGAAAGATCATGGATTAATGGTTTTTATCAAGTAATTAAAAATCCCAGTCCACCCCTTCCAACTTTTTAATTATGGTGAGAGGTTGTGAAGAGAAGTGTGGGTTCAGGAATAAGGAAAGAGGGGGCGGCAGAAGGCACCTGTTTCATTTGTGGGACGAAGCAGAGTCTGTCCAGACCTACAGTTGCTTACCCTAGTAAATGGTCATTTCCTTTATGAGTTTTAATCATCAAACCTACTATTTTCATTTATGTTTAAATTGGGTTATAGCTTATAGCTAATACAGTGTATTGTGTAAGCAGTTCAATTGGCTTGCATTTGAAAATAAATTGCTCCAGTAGTTTGCGAATTTCCATTTTCTTATGTAGATTAATTTATTTCTATGGGTGTTCTCTTGGAACACTGTTGAATTATTCTTTTTTGGAAGAACAATTTTGGTGGTTGTCTCGTATGTGAATCTTCTCACCTAATTGTTCCTTACTAGTGTAGTTCTCTTGTCATTTAGTTAGTGTTTTCCAATTGTTTAGGAGATATTTTTTTTTTTGAATTGGACTGCCCACAGGGTACAGCCAATGCTTATACTTTTCTGCAGTTATCTGATGCTTTTAAATGCCCACATCCCTAAGTCAGGACTTTTCATGCTATTTAGATTAATCAGATTGCGCCAACCATTCTTTCTCCACCTTTTTAAAACTATTTGCTTGCCGAGAGCTCTAAAGCTTTTTTTGTGTAGATTGTGCTTAATGTTCAGTTTCCTGGCTGGAGTTGGAGATATTGTTACAGGCTTATAGCCTTAAGACAGTCCTGAGGAAATGACAATGGAAGGAGTGGCGGGTGGAGTATTCTGTTGGCAAGTCCTGTATAACAGATAGTTTTATATTCTAAATGGGTCTTGTTATCTTCTTAAACAAAAGTACTCCCTTTCTTCCTTGCATATTGTTCCGTAGACTACTTTGGGTATTCCTTTGAGTTTGTCCCATATTGCTTTTGGTATGTTTTCCTACTTTCTCTTTCTCTATATGTGCACACTTGTGCCAACCCATTTTCACAACTTTTCCCAATTCTAGAGTGAAAATTTGAGTATGATTGAAAGTAAATAGGAGGAATGGGAAAAAAGGGAGAGTTAGGGTGGTGGAACTATGTTTCGCCCCCCCGAATCTATCTAATTTTGGAGAGGGGGTGTTTTTTGAATGGAGCGCAATGGATCACTTCCTCCCTTCCTCCCTCTGGCCTCCCCAGCCTCTTATACCTGTTATCCAAATTAGGATTAAGGTACGAAGGGAGTATTTCTTATGCAGTGCTTGGGGCAAGTATTTTCTCCATGATGTTCACCTGGGATTAAACTCCAATAATCTGTTTTGTGCCATTTAGGATTAAACTCCAATTACCTATTTTGTGAAACCTTGTTAAACAATTTTTTTAGGCCTGCGTAATGTAGCATAATTCAGTTCACTACTGCTTACAATAGTAGTCTCTCCTTTCCATTCCTTTAACAAAGCTGAACTTGGAGGTACTGTGTTGATAGAATATCCAAGCATTATCCCCCCCCCCCCCCCCTCCTTCCCCTTTCCAAATATCTTTGGGACAAGGGAGACCTCTTTGTAGTTGTACCTCGTGCTCTCTATGCTTGCTTCAATTTGTCTGACTACTCAACCTTAATAGTTATATTTTCTGGCTACTAATACAAGTGAAGGGTGAGATATTAGCGAGTTGTTCAGGTATCTCTCCTTTTCCCATTTCCCCTCTTTAGCGGCTTTGATGTATAGCAAAGGGGGTGGTATTTCTGGTTTCTTCAGGTAGATGTATTTTTATGGCCTGTGGGCCTTGCAACTACCCTTACGTGACAGTGGTGATTCTCTATGTAAAGGTGAGTTCGATATACTGGAATCTATTGGAGGCAACTATTATGGTTCAGTGCATCATTGGACCGCTGATGAACTCGTTGACACTGAATAATGAATATAAATCTGAACTCGGACATCAGCTTTCTCTGCTGTAAATGCTGAAATTTGGAATTTTCAGGCATGGCTGTAAATTATCATATCTTCTATGCAGTTGCTGATTGTATTTATCTGGAACATATTACGGCTTGAGAGTTTTCGGTGAGGTAGTAGATTTACATTAATTTCCTTAGTGGGCATGGGTATTTTTGATGGAGTTATGGGGAATTTCCATTTGTAATTGTTTTAGGGCTTCCAAGTTCTAACCTACCATATTTTCTTGCGTACACCAAGTTACTTCTAGGTCAATGCAATGGAGGCACTGCTTTTGTTAAATGTTAGAGCTTTTGGGAAATTGGGTGCACCAGTTTGGGTAAATTATCCTGTCAAATGTGGACGATGATCCTCTCAGCCAAAAAAGTAAGATGAGTGTGTGTGTTTTGTGTTTGGATTTGGGGGTCGGGGGTCTTATGGATAGCTTTCCTTGCTTTACTAAGAAAGTACTAAGGCTCCCTTCCAACCACGGCTATTCAAGAGATGTTATCACCATAATGAACTTCACGCCTCTTTTTTTAGCGTGGTCTTAGCCTCAAGCTGCCACCTTTGCTTCTTATAGCAGGTTATTTAAATTAGGAAAAATGAAAATTAATAATTCCACATTTGCGTGGTCTGACAATAATAATTCCATCTTTTGATTATTACGAGACAATCCACCTTTGCATGTCAAATTCTTTAAACAGACCCTGACTTGTTAGTGACCGTTTTTTTGTAGGTTATATGCCACGTGTCAAAATTTAATAGGTTTATTTCATTTTATTAATAAAAAAAAAATCAGCCACCAACCCCCACCGTGAAATCCTATACCCTACCCCAGCCACCACCAAAACCGGCCGACCACCTTACTCAACCTTCGAAAATGGCCGACCGACAACCCCAGCCTCACGTATCTTATCTCCATCAAGCATCCTCCCGACCTCAGCACCAAGAGTCCCGTCGCTCTCAACCACATCAGTCTCTCAACCCCTAGCGGGACACAGGGCAATCAAGCCGACCAAGAGATGCTAGAGAGATAATAAATGACCTAAGGCTGAAGGAAGGAACTCTAGATGCCCGTGAGATAATCAACTCCAGGCGGGATAACTCAAAGGAAGAAAATGATCCCCCTCAGAGAGGTCGAACTAGAGATCACTCTCGGCATGGATCAACAAGGTATTGGGATAGCTTGATACACTCAACCACTTCCAGACCGAGGGGAAGGCCCACTCAACTCGCTCGTTCACTAAGCAAAAGTCCCGAGTGCCCTTCCTTCCCCAGGCCAGGGAGGCTTGGGATTGTCAAGAACATCACACTTCTTTAGCCAGGAGATAATGAATACCCCTATTCCTCTTGAGGTCAAAATCCCTACGTTAGACCATTATGATGGAAAGACAGACCCATCGGAACATCTGAACGCTTACAAAGCACATATATGAGTCCAAATCAGATTTGAAGCCTCATGGTCTAGATTCTTCCCTACCACTCTCAAAGGCATAGCCCAGACATGGTTCAACAACATTACCCCCAGGAGCATAAGAACGTTTGACATGCTAGCTACCTAATTTAAAAAGTACTTCATTGCTGGGAGTAGGCAAACGAAGACTAGCGTTCACCTGATGACGGTGAACCAAGGAGAGAATCAAAGGCTTAAAGACTATATCAAGAGGTTCAACACAGAGTCTGAGCTCATCCCCGACCTCAACGATAATGTTGCTTTCACAGCCCTTCTCTTCGGGATCAAGTCCATCAAGCTGAAGTTTGAACTTGTGCATGATAAAGTCAGTACCTTCTCTGAAGCCATCGAAAGAGCTGAAAGGATCATTGAAGAAAGTGAGGTGTGCAAGGTACTCGTGGCAAACAACAAAGGGAAAAGAAAGCAAGAAGACAACTATCATGAGAACAAGAATAGAAGGTCGAGGAGGGCCAAGAGTGATAATGAAGGACTCAAGTACAATGTTGATAGGTGTGAGATCTATTTTGACATAAAAAACAAGGCTATCCTCCCCAATCCTAATCCAATGAACACGCCGATAGAACAAAGGAACAAGAAACTTTGGTGTGAATAGCTTAGGGAGTGCGGTCACACCACCCGGAACTGCAGAGAACTCAAGAGAGCCCTGGATAATCTAGCAGAAGAAGGGAAGCTAAATCAATACCTCAAGTACCCCCCGAAGGATAAACAAAGAAGCAAGGGTTCCAAGGTTGTGCAGGAAGCCCATAGCTCAGCTAACACCAACATGAGCATCAATGTCATAGCCGGAGGATTTGCCTTCTAGGGTGTGTCTAACAGGGCACACAAGGGTCATTTGCGGTCGCTCGAAGAACCTATCTACTATATTGGCACTCCCTCATCAACCCCGAAAGACCCTCTCATGGTGTGCAGTGATGACAATGCAAAAAATATTCAAAGGCCCCATGATGACCTTTTAGTGATTCACATGAAGGGGACCAATGCTGAGGTCTAGAAGATCTTAGTGGATAGTGGGAGTTCAGCTGACATTATTACTTGGAAATGCCTATAATAAATGGGTTTTGGCAGGGGAGACCTCACACCCTTGGAGAAGCCATTAGTCGGCTTTGGGGGGCAGCATGTTTATCCCTTAGGAACGATCAAGCTACCCGTCCGCCTGGGGGAAAAGAAGAAGGGGAGGAGTTTGGTACACACGTTCTTAGTTGTGTATACCCCTCTTCCATACAACATGATCATTGGTCGCCCTCTACTCAATAGGGTCAAAGTTGCAATCTCAACCTATCACTTGCTCCTTCAATTCGAGACCGATGATTGCTCGGTGGGGAATATATATGGAGATCAATTTGAGGCGAGGAAATTCTATGTAGATAGCTTGAAGTAACTCGAGGACTCAGTCAACCAAGAGGATAAGGGGGCCAAGCGGAAAGAAATGGATATTGATGAACGCCAGCTCCCCATAATGACCATCTACATGGCTGAGAACTCTAAGAAATACGGTAGGCCTAGACCTATTGAGGAGGATGAAAGCATACCTTTTTGGGGGATGACTCCGCTCGGAGTGTGAGAGTGAGAAAGAACTTGGACCCCCATATTAAGGAAAAAATCATTCAAGTAATTACAAAATTTAAAGACACCTTCGCTTTTACAACAGATAAAATGCCGGGCATAGACCCCGAGGTGATGACGCACGAGCTGAATATCAAGGAGGGCTACAAGCCCGTCAAGTAGAAACTCCGACATGCCAGACGGGAGAGAAACAAGGCTGCAGCCGCTGAGGTCAAGAAGCTTCTCGAAGTGGGTTTCATTCGAGAATGCCAATATATTAAGTGGCTATCTAATCTTGTGATGGTTAGCAAGCCAAATAGTTCTTGGAGTATGTGTGTAGACTTCACAGATTTGAATAAGGCATGCCCGAAGGATGATCACCCTTTACCTAAGATTGATAGCTTAGTGGATTCGACTGCTGGTCACGCCCTCCGAAGCTTCATGGATGCCAATGCGGGGTATCATTAGATACCCATGTCGGAAAAAGATCAAGCCCACACGACCTTTATCACCAGCCAAGGGGTATACTGTTACAATGTGATGCCATTCGGCTTCAAGAATGCCGGAGCCACATACCAGCGCTTGATGAATAAATTTTTTTAAAAGAAACTAGGCCGGAAAGTTGAGGCCTATGTTGACGACATGATCGTTAAAAGCAAAAAAAGCTCTGACCATATAGCAGACCTAAGGGAAACATTCACCACCCTTAGAAAATATAAGATGAAACTCAATCCCAGCAAATGTGTCTTTGGGGTTCAAGGAGGAAAGTGCCTTGGCTTTATGGTTGATCAGCGTGGCATTGATGCCAACCCGGACAAAATCCAAGCCATTCTTTACATGGAATCCCCCTGAAATGTGAAACAAGTGCAATGCCATACATGCTGCCTAGTTGCGTTAGGGGGATTCCTATTCCGATCAGCTGATAAGAGTTCATCCTTTTTCAAGGCCCTCAAGAGGCCTAAGTTCTTGTGGGATGAGGAGGCTGAAAAAGCTTTTCAGCAATTGAAGGAACATCTGATGAACACCCCGAAACATGTTAGCCCCCTCCCCGGGGAAACATTGTTCGTATACTTGGCCATATCAGACTATGCCCTCAGTTTGGTCCTGGTTGCTGGAAGAGAAGAAGGCCAAGTAGCTGTCTATTTTGTCAGCCATGCCTTATAGGGGGCTAAGACACGATATACTCTCATTGAGAAAGTGGTGTACGCTTTAGTGATGGCCAGCAGGAAGTTAAAGCCATACTTTCAAGCACATCCGATCAAAGTTCTTACCAGCCAGCCAATCAAGAAAGTGTTAGAGAGCAAAAACCATTCATCTCGAATGACAGATTGGTCAGATCAATTGGCGGATTTCGGAATTGAGTTTGTTCCCCGAAAGACCATTTAAGCCCAAGCCCTGGCCGATTTCATAGCCGAGTGCGCTCACATGCCTACCCTAATAGACACCTCTGCCCTTTGGGCTCTTTATGTGGATGGGTCGTTTAGTAGGCTGGAAGTGAGGCTGGGCTGGTTATCACCTCCCTAGAGGGAGAGAAGTTTGAATATGATGTTAAATTTTCCTTCCATGCTTCTAACAATGAGGCTGAGTATGAAGCACTCATCTTGGGGCTAAACTTGTGGCAATAAATGAAAATCAAGTTAGTTCAAGTATGCTTAGACTCAAAGCTCATAGTGGGGAAAATGACAAAAGAATTTGAAATAAAGGAGGAAAACATGAAAGCCTATTTTGAGAAGGATGAAAGCTTAACAAAATCGTTTAACAACTTCAAGATCAAGCACATTCCCCGATTAGAAAATCAGCAAGCTGATGCTCTTGCCCGCCTAGCAAGCTCGGCTGAGGGGATAGCCCCCCGAAACATCATGTGGAAAGTCCTGGAGGAACCAAGTACTCAAAGGCCCGCCATCATGGAAATTGATAGTGGCGAGACTTAGATGGATAAAACCATTCTATGCTTAAAAGGGGAGCTACCTGAGGATACCCCCGACTTCAAAATGATTAAAAAACGGGCTGAATGGTTCGTGCTTCATGACAGAACCCTCGATAAAATGTCTTTCACACACCCGTTGCTGAAGTGCATAACCCCGGAGAAAGGGAATTACATACATAGAGAAATCCATGAGGGGGCTTGCCGTAGCCACCAGGGTGGAAGAACTATAGCGGGAAAGGCGCTGAGGGCTGGATTTTATTAGCCCACCCTGAGGAATGAAGCCATGAAGATCGTTAAGAGATGTGAGAAATGTCAAATTTTCGCTGACATGCCTCATGTCCCGGCTAATGCCCTCACAAGTATTCAGTCGGTCCTACCCTTTGATCGTTGGGGCATGGATATTCTAAGAGGCCATTTCCCGTGGCCTCAGGGCAAAGGAAGCTTCTGATAGTAGCGGTGGATTATTTCACTAAGTGGGTTGAGGACGAGCCAGTAGCAACAATCACCGACAAACAAGTCCAAAAATTCATATGGAGAAATATTATCACCCGTTTCGGGATACCCTGCATTTTGATCTCATACAATGGCCGACAATTTAATAGCGAGCCAACTAGGGAGTACTGCGAGAGTTTTAGGATCAAGACAAGGTTTTCTACTATATGATGACTTCAGACAAACGGCCAAGCTGAGGCAGCGAACAAAACAATATTAAAGGGGCTGAAAACAATGTTAGAAGGCACAAAAGGATCTTGGGTGGATGACTTGCCTGGGATCTTGTGGTCTATTCGTAACACCACCAAAGAAGGTACGGGGCAAACCCCTTTTGCCTTAGTGTATGGGAGTGATGCTGTATTTCCCGTAGAAGTTGGAATCCCATCCCCCAGGGTCACCTTCTATGACTTCACCCAAAATGATCAAATGAAGCCTTTGGCCTTAGACTTACTTCCAGAGATAAGAGGAAATGCTTTGCTTCGCTCTATAGCATACAAGAAAAGGATAACTCGATACTTCAACAAGAGAGTCAAGAAAATACCCCTAGCTGGGGTTGACTGGGTACTCCGAAAATGTGAGTCTGCAGGCAAGCCTTCGGCACTGGAAAAGCTAAGCCCAAATTGAGAGGGGCCTTACAAAATTAAGGAAGTAATTCGCCCAGGGACCTTTCGCTTGCAAACTCTTGACGGCAAGGACCTCCCCCGGCCATGGAATGCTGATAACCTGCGAAGGTTTTACATTTGAATCTCTCCCTTATAATGATGCCCTAGGGGCAATAGAAGTCGATACTAGGAAATCAACTTTACTATAGCGCATCATTGTAATGTTTTTTGCATTAATGTTAATATAATGAAAAACCCCTCAGCTAGGATGGTTTCCCTTTATATATTGCACTTTGTCATTTTCTTACTTAGTTGATTTTTTGAACTTTTATATCGGTTATTAACATAGATGACAATCATTCAATAGCACCACATGCCTGGCATAAGGGATTTTGGTTCGCTAAGTTAATAATGACTAAAGTTTGGTCCAATGTTTGGGGCAAGATGCTAGCCTATACTCAAACATTTGAGATAGAGTCCTGGTCGAAATATCATCCATAACTTAGGGCTCGTTTAGCCCTCAGCTTACTTCAAAGAGTTAGAAAGCCAACTCTCATATGACTTGCAACTTGGGGCTCGTTTTAGCCCCAAAATTGTTAACGTTATCAATAATAAGTTGGAGTAGCCCATCTCTCATACAAACTTCTAGCTAGGGGATCGTTTTTAGCCCCTAGTTTGTTTACATTGCCAATTCAAAATTTATAACTAAGGGCTTGTTTAGCCCCTAGGTGTTCATACAATTTCTGCTCTCATGAAAAATAACATAAGGTTCGTTTTAGCCCAAACCTAGTAATAATAGTATGCTAAGGTTACCCGTCCAACGCTAGGGGATTCTTTTTGTCCCATAGGGATAAATGATCAAGTAAGGAACAAATATTCAACAAAGGATAGCATAAAGAAAAGCATACGAATTCCATTACATCAACAAAGAAAAGTCTAAGCCAAATTAACGGTTACAAGCCATCAAGCAAAAGCAAAAAATCATAAGTTTCGTACATCCCAAAGAAATACATCCTAAAGAAATCAGTTAAGCCTAGAGCAAAAGGAAAGGCTAGAGAAGCTACCCCTCGATCCCACTCTACTGGTTCTCCTCTTCCCTGATCTTCCTCTCTTCCTGCTCTTCAGCAGCACGGATAAGGTCCTTAACCTTATCTCGCACCTTGGGATAAGAATCCTTCAGCCCAAAAGAAGAAAGGGCTGTCTCCATGTAGGCCTGGACATCAGCTATCCCGACCTCGAAGGCCTCGTACCCAATCATGGACTGAAAATCAGAAAAGGCAGGAGACCACTTCCATTCGGCGATCACCTCCTCCTGGGACCGCTCGGCTCTGTCCCAAGCCTTAGTCAGCTCTTCCTTCAGGCCCTCCACCTCTTCCTTCTTTGCCTTCAGCATCTCGGTCAGATTCTTCTTCTCATCCCTAGCCTCAGCAAGCTTGGCCTCAAAGGACTTGGTGTTAATTTCCCTAGCCTCCTAGGCGTCAAGGAGATCCTGCCAGGCTTTCTCCAAGGCACTCTTAGTCGAGCTTAGCTCCTCCTTCAGATCATGAATCTCAGTTCGGGCTCCAGACAACTCACTCCACAGGTCAGACACATCCTGCACCGCACATCTCTTGTAGTCCTCAGCCATCACACTCAAAGTGGCGCCAACCTGCATAAATAAGAGTGGAAAGTTAGTGTAAGTCGAAGGGCAAGAAATCATTGCAAAAGCATATAGATGCATACCTTCAGAACACTATCAAAAGTGGAGTAGAAGAATTTAGTCGGGTCCCTCCTCACAGCATCAACATCTTCGGCCGAAGAGAAGCGGGGCATGAGATCCTTCACCATATCCTTGCACCCCTGCTTAGTCATGGGCAAGAAGGGCTCGCTGAACACGGGAGGCCCAGGGGCCCTGTCCTCAAAGTTATCATCGCCCTCGTCTTTACTTTCTTCAATGCGAGGATGCTTCACTTGCGGCCCAAAGCCCTCAGCCTCTAGAAGCTCGATATGCTGAGAGATGGCGGGGGAGACATGATGAGAGCCCTAGTCATCCATCTCCATGGTCGCCCGAGAAGATCCTTCCCCCCTTTCAGATGTCTTCTTCCTTGACTTCGGATTCCAAAAAGAGAAGTTAAACAAGTAAGCAAAAAGGCAATCACTAAAGAATTAAACTGTGAAAAAAGGTGCATACCGGAGGAGGAGGAGGAGGAGGAACACTCATGCTTTCCTCTGGTTAAGGAAGCTCTAAACTTCCCTGCTCGAAAATTAAAATGCGACATCTTACGCTGGAGTTTTCCTTTCAGCTGTTTATAAGCAACATCTGCAAAAAAACATTCATACAAATTCATTAGTAATAAAGCCCGGTAGGAAAATACATAAAAGAGTTAGCTTAAATAAACAAAAGAGGATCCTACCCCTATCATAAGCACGGTTCAAGCCCACGACACTAAAAAATCGCTCCTTTTTGAAATGCCTATCCTTCAAGATTCACATGGTAGGTTTCTTCTCTTTTGATCCTTTTTCCTTAAAGGATTGTAGCCAAATATCCCCCACGGCTTCATCAACACTCATGGAAGGAACATTGTAGTTCAACTTAACCCTAGGCCATCCGCTATGGTCTCGGGATATCCTCCAACCCTCGACATAAAAAATGAAAAGAAAGGTATGGAGAAAGCCCTTCTGGCTTGAAGGCTTTTTGCGAATGGTGTGTTAGAACTCCCTATCAAAAAAATGCATACCATCCATGGGGTGCCTAGTGATGAGTGTCATTTATGACACTCATTTGGCCTCTTTTAGGATGATTTTCATGCTTCTTTATAGCCCTTTTCCTTACTTTTTCCTTAATTTTGTTCTTTATTTCGTTAGTTTGTGCTTTCCGTAGTTAGTTTCCTTGTTTTGTGAATTTCTTTGTTTATTTGTTCTTTTTCCCTTTTATTTGTTTATTTTCGTTTGTTTTTAGGTTATGATCGTGTCTCCAAGGATTCCCGAGCCTTCTTCTCATCAATTTGGATGCCTCATGTTCGCCTTTCGGAGTTTCAAGTTTAAAGGAAAGCAAAGAGAAAATCAAGAGATCGGTGCATGTATGCGGTGGGGGCATAATCTTTGCCATGAACCCACCAAAATAGGCCCTCTCAAGACTTCCCACCTTGGTGTTCATTGTCATCATAAAGTCGAGCCCACGAGGATGAGCTTGGAAGAAGAAGAGGGGGGGCTCCCCTGCGGCTAGGCGCGGGCGCGCACGAGGGTGGTGCGGCCGCGCACCTGGGTGGCGCGGGCGCGCCTAGTGCGGTTGCGGGCGCGCTTGCCAGGGCCCTTGTTCCGTACCCTTTTTCTCGCGGCCGCGCCTCTCCTCTGATGCGACCGCGCCTTCCGAGGTTTCTTTTGGGACGATCTAACTAACTCTTCTTTTGTATATTTCCTATATATAGTTTTTCCTTCTATTTTAGGAGGAGAGAGAATTAGAACAGAAGGAGAATTAGTTTTTGATCAAATTAGAGAGATTTTTAGAGAGAGAAACTCTAGGTTTTAGTGAGAGAAATTCATGGTGGATTGTTGATGATTGAAGCTTTCTTTAATTACTTTGATCTTTGATCAAGATTGTAAGATTTCCTTTTCTTTAATTGAATGTTTAGTTTGATCTTTAGTTTGATTTCAATTGTTTGTTGAATGTTCAAGTTTGATTGAAGATTGATTGATTTGTGTTTGATTAGTTTGAACTAGATTGCATTGTAAGTTCACATTGATACGGACCATTGATTTGTGGCTTGCATTTACACGATTGAGGTGTCTTGTGATGTTTCCTAGCTAGAGTTTATCGTGTTGACGCTAGTTAGACCTCTAGGAGAATAGCTTGATATGCTCTTTTGGTTGCATGATTGATTTTCCCTTACATAGCTTGACTTAGTCAATTTGACCTCCCAATTAGTTGAATTTGTTATGATTACATGTGGATCCTAGCCCTAGTGTTTATTACGTTTGATTTCTTCTCGTTTATTAGTCATCTTTGTCCTAGCATAACATTCACACCCAATCATTACATTTCGGAATAGCTTGACCATAGATAATAGATAATCGCCCACCATTCCTTTGGGTTCGACCCTCAACTTACCATTATACTTGTGTATGGGTGTGTTGAGTGTTTACAAATTTTGTTTGGCCTCGGGTAGGGGTTAGTTTCAACGACCTAGCTTCAACCCGCGTCAAAATGGCGCCGTTGCCGGGGAATGAAGTTGTGATTTTGTATTGTTGATTGAGTCTATTCCATCTTATTCAAAAAAAAAAAAAATACAAAAAGATTTTTCTACTTTCTTTTAGGCTACACTTGTAGTCAGGTTACTAACAATTTCTTTTGAGCTTTTGCATGCATAGTAGAACTCGTGTTAGGACCTTAGTTCCGTTGGATCCGTAAATTGAAATAACTCTTTCACGAAGAAGGGTAGCCAATCGATCTTTGAGCCTAAGTTCCTCAAGTGAAGAAGAATTTGAGGAAGAAGAAGAGCAAGCCATGCGAGAGAATCCAAGAGTAGCTTTGAAGGAGTTGGGAATTATCGGTGCTTATAGGTTTGAGAGTGGCATTGCTCCACCGACAACACCGGTGAACGATTTTGAAAATAGACCGGCCATGATTACTTTGATAGAAAGGAGGCAATTTAGTGGAGCCAAGAGTGAGAGCCCGTTGAATCACCTAAAGGAATTTGAGAAGTATTGTAATACTATCAAGGTGAACGACATTTCTCAAGAGTTTATTCGGATAAAGTTGTTTCCCTTTTCTCTTATTGGCCGTGCCTTAGAGTGATTGGATAAGGAGTTTAAGCCAAATTACCTTAGGACATGGGATGAAGTCACCAAAGCTTTCTTGTCTCGCTTTTACCCACAAAAGAAGACGGCGGAGGGTAGAGACTTGATCCAAAAATTCAAAGAAAAGCCTAATGAGAATCTCTATAAAGCATGGGAGAGGTACAAGGAGTACCAAAGAGAGTGTCCACATCATGGAATTCCTACCTATCAAGTGATACAAATTTTCTATGGAGGCTTGAGTGCTCA